TGACACAGGTGACGGTGATGAGCAGCAAGAGGACAGTCAAGTGTCATCGTCTAGCCGCTCCAAATTGAATTTGGAAGAGGTGTGGAACTTCATCAATGAAAGCCACACGAAGAATGTCAGCATGGAGGCGTTGGCCAAAATCCGCTCGGAGGATGTGCATGGCGGCGTGAAAGTCGGCACTGTGTTGTTCTGGGCGAGAAAGTTCATGTCTATGTATCACAAGCGGTGTCAGCTATCATTTCTCCAAGAGAACCGGGTTGTCATCGCCACTGATGCATCTACTCACGGATGCAGAGATGTATTGGTGTCACTGTTTTTCAGTCCAATGTCAAATGTCGCAGGCTGTGCAGTGAGCCAGAGTGTGGGCCTCAGCAAGGTCTTAGCCCCAAATGAAATTCCCCTCTGCCAGGAAGCTGAGGTCCGAGCTGCCAAGCGGGAAGAGGAAAGGCTGTCGTCATACAAGCTGCTGCAAGCGCTGAGCCACCAGCTCCTGCTGCAAACCCAGCTGCTTACCCTGATGAGCTTGGAGCCAAGCCCACAGCTTGGCCTGCTGCCACTCAAGCCAGGTGACTCGCGTGAGGTCAGCAATGAGAATGGCCAGGTCACAGTCACCATTCGCAGAGCAGGCTCTGAGTTTGAGGAGGGCGTCAGGTGTGACTTGACACATGTCAGAAATGTGCCAATTGTCACTTGTCTGATGGATCAGGGGCCCACTGGCCTTGCAGCGGCGTCCTTTATGCGGCATCACAACTATCTGATCCATTTTGCCTGGGATAAGATTCATAGGCTTATCAGAGACTTGAAGCTCTCAGAGTCATCTGTCCCAGGCCTATCTCAGACAATGCTCATGTCGTCCTATGTGATGGGGATAAATTATAAGCCCTTCGGGCGGGGCGCATTTTTCGAAGAAAAAAAGGAAGCATTGTCAGCTTTCATGAATACAACTTCAGCTGACACCTGACTGACAACTTATTAACTTGTCATTGTCCTTGAAGTATTTGTTCATTGCTAGCAGAGGGTCGTTAGTACTTTGTAAATGATTGGGACATGTGACAATGACCGTGTCAGGAATCGCCCATCTTTCAGAAATATGTGTCCAGGATAGCAAAAGACTTCAACATGGACTGCGGCACGGCTGCTGAGCAGAATGCTATCTGGGAGTCACTTGTCGAGATGGCCACCTGGACTCGCAAGGGCGGCTTTCCGAAGGCCTCGCGCTGGTTCTCATGGCACGAGTGCTGCGAAGACTTTCTGCCCGACTTTTGGGCCTCTCGAATGGTGCTGGAATGGTATGTCGGGGGCGGTGAGGAGGGCTCAATGCCCACCCCGGAGTCAATGTCAAATGTCACATTTCAAAAGATTCGTGGAGACCTCGGGGGGCTGAAGCTGGCATATCAGTGTCTGTCAAGTGACGTCTTTGAGAACAGCTGGCTGCTGTACTTGTCCGCGCAGCCGTCCTGGACATGGTACAGCCATCAGACGTCCAGTGTGAAGAGTCCATCGGACGCTGTAAGTTACAGTGTCCAGATGGCCTCACACTGGGCGTCTGACTCGCACTTGCAAGACACAGCAGCACTTCTGGGATCGTCCAATGCTCATTCCTGGGAGGCCCTGTTTGAGTACACTAGTGATGCGTCAGGTCTTGCAAACAACATCTTGCAGTACCTTGTCAGGCTTCTTGGCCAGCGAGCAAGCTCCTTTGCCAAGCACAGCTGCCCGCCTGAGTGCTTTGCTGGAGTTCTTGCCGGGGATGAGTCGCTGGGGCTGTCGAGTGATGCTCAGTCACGTCAGGTGTCACTCAGTGCCATGAAAAAGATGCGTCAAATGTCTAAGCTCCTCTGGGGGGTTGAGACCAGCTTGGCATCTTGCTCTGCTCAACTGTCTGAGGACCTCCGCATCACTTTTGACACACCCACTCGTCTCTGTGCTATGTGCTTTGAACAAAGTTCATGGAGGCCTGAATCTCAAAATGGCAGAAATGTGCTCAAGTCGATGCTGTTCTGCTTCAGCGACACAAAGATCATTGAAGATATTCACCAAAGTTTGCGAGGAGCATCTGGTGCTCGCAAGAATCAGCGCATGACCCCGACATCAGTGCAAGTCACATCTCAGCTGTCGCCTGTACTAGAAGAGCGTGGCATCCCACATCCTGCTCGCATTGACCGGGACGAGTTTCTGCGTCGTTGGCCTGGGACATCGCCAAACGTTCTCAAGCGAGGTGATTTCCGGGCAAAGAGTCACAAGCTGCCAAAGTTCTTCAGCAAAATATTGCTGCCCAAATCTTGGACGGCTATGACCGAGACATCCCTTGGTCGGTCTGCTGCAGCTTGGTCGTGGGTATGCTACTATTCTGAAGCAAAGCTTGCGCAGTCAGGTGTCCGGATTCAGGCCAGGGATGGGCATGTAGTTGTTTCATGCTTAGGCTCATTCATGACACATGACAGTGATGTTGGCAGTTGATCAACTCATGACATGTTATAATTGAACTGAACAGGATGGC